CGGTGGGGAAACACAACGCGGATACGTCATCCAAACGTTCCCTCGTGCTCCGGCGTAATCTGCGCCCCTCCCATCATGTCTCTAGCCCCTCCCTCTCCGTCACCCCCCTCTCTCTCTCCCTCCTGTGCCCGGATCCCCTCAGCCGTTCTCTCTCCAGCAGGCCCGACCCGCACATCTTTCCGGGCCATAGCCCATGTAGACCCAGCGGACTGCACACAGAGAGGGGCTGACATTAACAGGGACCCGGCGAGAGAAAGAAGGAGCCTTAACATTTGTTGGACGAAAACCCGACTAGTTTTATCGGAGCACCCCAAGTATTGGCTCTCTAATTTTTTTTTCCACAGTCCTGAGAGGGGAAAAAATGACTTCTTAGTCCGTTAAAACTAGTCCGGATCTGGAGCAGCTGAACTCTTCTGAGCGGGCAGGGCACACACGACGGGACCGTTAGGTTTACATCCAGATAACAAGAACCTGGTCTACGCAGAGGGGAAGGACATTAAAAACATTTTTTCCCGTAAAAGGCCAAATTTCCACGCTTCTTAACAAAACACAAAAACAAAAAAAACAAAACGAACCAAAGTAAGTACTGTTTCATTTTCATGTCGGCAAACAGTTAGCAGTTGGTTTGAGTGCTGCGGCAGACGTACGGTCTGCATCCTGTTTCTTTATAGACGTCATTACGCTTCCATGCAGGAATCCGCTAATGCAACATAGCGGGGTTTATTTTTGTGTTTTTACTTTTTTTTGTTATTACAACATTCGAAGACATGGGTAAAAGTGTTTAGATGGGAGCTAAAAGTTAATATCCTTGTCTGTTTATTGCTGGGAAGTGATGCTAGCTTGTAGCGTAGCTGATCTGTGCTAACAAAGTTTCCTTACCAGTAGCCACCACAACCATACCAGTACAATTTTATGAACTATTGACATCTGATGTTGTTGTTTTTTTTGTCACAAATAGTGCTTAGATTCACTATACTTTTTAACGTTATTGTAGTTTTTTATTAGGCAGACCTCAACTACTCCCCACAAAAAGTGAAGCTCCTCTCCAGATTTATCTTAAAAATGAGCAAAGATCACTCAGGATATAGTTTGTCATCCAATTTTTGGTGGAATATTTTTCCTTTATCGTTTAGTTTTCTGCATCAAAGTAAGATTCAAACTTCTGTCTCTTTCAAAACCAATCTTGCACCTCTGGTGGCATCATAAAGTCGACTAATCAGGAAGCTGTATTAACGTGTTTATTTGTACTTTTTATTTTCATTTTTTAAATCCACATTAGGGAAGACCTCATGTGACATTTTCCCACTATGATAATCCTTGAGGTTAGTTGTCCTCCACCTTTATAGATGTGTCTATTTGAACACGCCTGAGTATAATGGTGACAACATTAGCAGGACTCTTAAGTCTTAAGTCATGTGACTAAGGATGATTATTTCTTTCCCTTCACTTAATGAGTGCAACATACATAGCATTGATGTCCTGGTACTTTTTCATATCTGACACAATACTGTTACTTCAGCTTTGAGTATATTAGTTGATACAGGGGAGTGGTTGCCTAGTGGTTAGGGCATAGAGCATGGAATCCTGAGGATCTGAGTTCGAGGCCCACTGCCACAGACTGCCACTCTGGATCTCTGAGGCTCCCTTGGCGCCGCACAATGGCAGCCCACTGCTTCCAAGGGGATGGTTTAAATGCCGAGAGTTCATTTCATTGCTCTGTCCTTGTGACAGTGTAATCACAATAAAAGCTGGGGGGAAAAACAAGACATTGGTCCAATACAGAATCGGCACAAATCAGAAATGCTTTTATTACCTATTTTGTTTTGTGGAAAATTTGATCAGAGAATTTTATTCGGAAAAAGAGCCTACAATAGTGGGTGTAAGCAGATTTGATCCATTTATTATTGACCAATGGGTTACTAGAGATGCACTGATCAGGATTTTGGTAGCCAATCACCAGAATCAATATCTTCCCATCCCAATATTGCTGATCACTGATTCAAGCATTAAATCCATAAATTCTTCAGCGTCGTCTCATGTTTATTGACATTATATAATTAAGTAAAAATTAGATTAGAAGGCACCATTTTAGGGAAGGAGACCAGCTGTTTTCGATTTAACATGAAGAGAGAGAAATTAATGTTAAAGGATGAAGTGGAGAATGTTCCTAAGAGGTGTTTTGGTAGCTCTTAAAAAAATTGGTTTTAATTTAGCCCTAGGACAGTAGTCTGCATCCATTCATATCCAAAGAGCTATTTTGTATTGAGTCCGGCCAAGTAAAAGTTGCTTAGAGCTGAAAAATATAACCTGACTTTTAAAAAAAACTGGCAATCATTTTTGTTTAATTATCTCGTATAGGAATTTAGTTACATCTGTAACAACCACCAATTTAAGAATTTCTATTTTTTTTAAATAATATTAAAACACATAATTTCAAAAAAGAAAAAATCTCTCTAAAACATTTTTGTTTCTTTTAATGTCTTTCATTTAGTCACTCTGCGTTCTATGCTGCTGTAAAAAAACGTTTATTTAATCATACAGGCAACTTTGGTACACCAGTGTTTAGATGGTGCAGTTGCATGACTAAACGGCAAACAGAAACAGCATTTAACCATATATTCTAACACGCTGGAAATAGTCCTTCAATCCCCGAAAAAAAATATCGCAACTAATAAGTTTGGCTTTGGGGGTTTATTTTTTATTTTTTTAATTTTTTTTGTTGTTGTTTTCAGTGCTATAAACATTATAAGGGATGTTATTGTATCACTCCATGCTCTTTCCATGGCATTCAAGCTCATCAAAACGACTTGAGTGTATGACAGAACGGTTTTAGCTCCCCAGACAGGTTTATAATGGTTCAAGTATGAACTTACTCCAACTTCTATTGAAAACTATATGATTTTTGACTTTCCAGTTAATTCCAGAGGGGAAAACGCTACTAAAGAAATACAGTAAACGCCTCACTCTTAATGAAGTGTTAAAATTAAAATACTGTGAATTCAGAGTTTATATAGTTGCTGTACCTGATATAAAATCTCTACTGACACGAAGTCACCCCCATCCCTAACCCTGTTATAAATAGTGTTTAAGGGCGCTGGCACAAAATACAGGTGAGATATGGAAGTAGAAAAACAAACGTCTTTCTTCTATGTGGTTGCCATTTTTGTTCCAGAGATAAAAGTGGAGAGGATCAGTCATATGTCATTTGTTTGGTCGCTCACTGGGCGGTGATTGTGATGAAATTTGGGATTATCAGAGTCAAACTGCAGCAGAGTAGAAACATTAGTGTGTTTTTTTTTTTTTTTTTTTTTTTATGGTGTCTTAATGGTAAGTAGATTTTTGGTTTAATTCATTAAATAATCAAAACACAAGTTGCACAAAAGCATCTGTAAATGTTATTTCTTTAAAAATCACATTTGAAATTGAAAAGGCAGAGAGAAGAAATGTAGAAACTAGCATTCAGAGTAGAAAGTCTTTATAGTGTGCCTAAATTAGCTTTACCATCACTTTGTGGTTTATTCATTTAGCCCAATTTGCTTAGTGATATGAGATAATGTGCTAGTAAATTATTAATAAAGAAGACGCCTGGCGTACTTTCTTGTAATTGGCTTTTACAAGGGTGCTTTGTGATTGGTGGCAAACCATCCCCTGTTTAAAACAAAATGCATTTGTGTATTGAAGCACATCAGGGCAGTCTCAAAAATCCACACACAAATGCAGTGAAGTTTAAAGACTAATGGTACTTTGCAATTAAATTTCTAATTGTTTATGGACCATAAATACTATGGTGAATCTTGCTCTGTGCATGTGTGGATCTTGTGTGCTTGCATGAATCTTTCTGTGCGTCTGAGGATCTTGTCCTTTGTGTGTACAGATTTTTATTTTTTTTTATGGCTGTGTGAATCGTGCTGGGTATGTGTGGATCTTTTCCTGTGTATGTATGAATAATGTGTGTATTTGTGAAAATGGAGACCGATCCAGCTCCATAGAAAAATTGCTACTGACTGAAATGTTACATTCAAGTCAAGATCACTCATCGCGGTATTTGAATATTTTAAACCAAGTTCTAGAAGCTTAACTTTAACATCTCTCCCCCAATTGACAATGTTTACATTAGGGGTGATCATATGCAGTCCCCAAGAGCTACTATCCTGCAACTTTTTAATTCACCACATTTTTAACACACATGAATCAAATAAGTGGCTCATTACCAAGTCTCTGCTGAGCTAAATGAGGGGATTGAGCCTTCAGATTAAGGTATATAGAAGAGATGCATCTAAAAGTTACAGAATGGTAGTTGCTTTTGAGGACTACCTGGTTTACATGCTCGTTGGAAATCTGATAACTGGGAAACGGTCGATAACTGCTCTATCAGAACTGATCCATTTGCATCCACTTCAGAAATGTGATTTTGAAGAAATATTTGTCTAGATGTCCAATGCTACTGCTGTGTTGTTTTCAGTAAATATAAAAGTAGACAGATGGCTGGTATTTTACATAAGACCTTTAAAAATTATCTATGTATGTTTACTTCTGTCAAAAAGGCCCCTTTCAATCCTGCAGTGCTCGCTATGACTGTTGGTTTTCTTGTTGTCCTGCTCAGGGAAAGACTGTGGGACTTTCTTTGCCTTTTTCTTTGGTCGCCCAGATTTTGAACTGGCAAAAGAGATCACAGAACATTTTTTTATGTGCAGATGGAAATCAGAGTACCGGGGCGAAATCTAGCCATGGTAATCTAATGTGTGTTAATTAAACATCCTCTGATTTTACTTTTTCGCATTTTGTTGTTGAAAGGATAATTTCAGAGATCAGATCACCACGGGATAACACTATAATCGCATTTCTGTGTGCATTTAACCACACTCCATGATTACATCTTCTGTCTTTGATTGTTTTCAGTAGTGAGTAATCAGTACTTCAGTCGAACCTGATAGAGTTTGGTCCTCACCATTAAATGAACAACCAATCAGAGGCAGACCTAATCACCCAAAGAAACCCAATCTTGGCTTGCATCAACTGAGGTGAACCATTTAACATGACAATATCCCACATGTCCCAGACAGGCCTATTCATAGCAACATGCTAACTGACTGACTTCCACCATCAATAATTAATGAGTGCCACAGATCAGTAACTGTCTTCTGATCTCTACCTCCAACACAGCAGACTAGAAACAGCTCAATAAACTGTGTGCTTTGAGATGATTAAACACAGTCTTTCATTTACAGAATTATGTTTTACATGCAAAAAAGCACAATTTATTTTATTTTTATAACAAATATTAGCCATGCCGTCAAAGTTCCTTTCCCCAAAGAATGCCAAAAATGTGAGGGATGAGTATTCTTCATTTATCCTTGCTAGGAAATGCTTAACGCATGACCTGAGTTAGGGCTGACAACCATGTGCAGCAATGAGCTCTGTTCTCTGTCCAGCCTATTTTGCTGCCATCACAGTTATCACAAACATCAGATTGTAAAAGCTTTGAAATTACCATCTCTATCCTGATTGAAAGTATTATGGATATTATAGCTTTTAGAGTAACCGCTCAGTTTCTCTTGTATCATTCAGAGATACTAAATACTGTGCAATATTACCATTAACTTTGGTTTTAAATGCAGGGTTTGTTATAGAAAGCCCTCAGAAAATGTGCACATTCATTTTAAAACCACGCTTTTTTTCCCTGTCTATTCCCACCTCAATTCATACTCGTGGGACAACATTTTTCTACCGATATGTGGGTTGAGTATCACTTTACTTCTCTTGAACCTCCATTATCAGTCACAAAATAGCTAAAAAAAAATCCTTTGTTTTTTTACTTTGAAGGCTAACATTATTATGATTTTTTTTTATTTCTTATAAATCTTATATCCCCAACTTCCTGAACTTCAACCAGCGCCTGTTTCTTGTTTTTCATTACTGGACAAACTGATTAATCCAGGTGTGTCTGACATCAGTAACCATAACGACAATGGCCTGACACACCTGGATTAATCAGTTTGTCTATCAATGAAGGACAAGAAGCAAAGGAGCAGGCTGAAGTGGTGGAGTAAAAATATCTTCTCAAATAAATCCAGAAAGACAGTACTTAAAATCATGTCATCTTATCTTCAAAAAACTGGACTAAACCTAAGGATTTAAGGAAACATAAATAAGATCAAGTAGGTGGCGATAATGCTCCATTTGGTTGCAAGACGCCAGTAAAACAACAAGAAGAAGAAGAGGAAGAAGTGGTGGAGTTGGCCATATAGTCCATTGAAGGATTTAACAAAGTAAATGATGTACTTACAGAAAATAAACCTTTCATGGAGAGAAGAAGTAAACAATTAATTGAATATATATGAAAAAAAAAAACAGTTTAAGTACCGGGAGAAGGAAAGGAAAGGTGAACAGATGAGAACAATCAGGTGAGAAATCGATGCCAGCTGAGGAAAATTAGGAAAAAGAATAGGGGAGGAAGGGAGAGAGAAATGAGCAGCGGTACATTAAGAACACAGGAAAGGAACCAGACTTAATACAATAAAACACAAGCACCAATTTATAAAGTAAAAGCAACAACAGAAGAACAGAAACGGATATAAATAAACTTTAAAAACACTTGACAATAATATGCATTGGCTAAAAAACTTATGGAAATACTTCAATACCCCCCCAAAAAATAAGACCCATATTCATAATTCTGGACCTAGTTTTAAATCACCCACTTATCATTTTTAGGATAAACTACTTTGCGAAGAATATGCTAAAGGTTTTTTTTATAACAAATTATAAAACATTAGTTTGCTGAAACAAAATATCTTAATCTAAAAATCCTCTTTCACCCCTTGGTACTCATTCTTCATCCCTAAAGCTGCTTATCTAAGGGGTAGGATGTCCCGGTTGTTTATCCAGAGAAGGGGGAAGAAAAGCCTTTTTTTTAAGGGTCAAACTTAAACTTGCAAAGCCCCCAAGCTTGTCCTAGTTAACATATTTTTAACAGCTCAACGAACACAAAAATATCTAGTTTTACCTGTTGAAAGGTTTTATTTTTCATGACTAAATCGTTAATTCTTAAGAAATTATGATGATCAAACACTTTATAACTTCTATTTTAGGGTTTGATGTATTGCATGTCACTGTTTATTTTTTTCTAAAAAGCTAAATGAAATATAGTATTTCTATTTAGCAATCAAAAACTAAACACTCATACTAGTTTATTTATAAATGTATTCTGGTGTCAAAATGTGTGTTCTAATTATTCAGGGGATTGACATACCTTATTTGCAGTCTAACAAAGCATGCTTTTACTACATGTAAATTTGATGATTTGTATACTTATTCAAAGTCAGTTATTTTGAATCAACTTCATTAAAAGCAGTTTTGTATTCAGTCAGTATATTTCTTCAATACATCATTGGGGATAATCCTTGCAAATGGGATGGATCTGAAGACATGGTGTAATCTGTTTTAGTCATTGTCAATATTGGAAAAGTTGTCTTGTTTTTTGTTTTTTGTTGTTGTCCTGGTCATTCGATATGATTTAGTTTCCAGACAACTTTGCAGTCCTTAAAACTTGCTTTTTATTAATCTCTTAAAGTGTCATTTCTGATTTTGGATTCATAAACTCAACAGCACTCTGCAGCTGTCTGTACCGTTTTCTTATAATAGTTGCCAAATCCTGTGGTTTGAATGATTCAGCTTGCAGTGTGAGCATCCGAAATACAGTTGGTTGTGAGTAAATGGGTGGATAAACGGATGGTATGGTCCTAATGACTCATAGTCAGAGCACATTTTTAGTCTTATGACTTATGGTTCCCCTGGCCAGCTCAGTTTCCAGCCTCCGATAATAGTTTTTGTGAAAAAGATTTTACCAAGCAGTGAGAGTGAATGGGGTCTAGAATGGATGGTGGCAGTGTGTTTACATTCCCCAAATACTCATAGACTCTGTGCCATGATCCTCTTGGATCCTAACCCCTGTTTGATGCTTTTTCTTTTTTAGAATCTGAATATGGTTGTAAACCCAGGATTCAGGAAGACCGGAGGTGATATTCTGACAGCTTGAATTGAGAGCAATGTTTCCAGTCGCTCTGTGTATATGAATAATGTAGAAGAGCAAGTCTGTCAGGGAGAGAGAGAAAGAAAAAGAGATCTACTTTGCTCACTCCCCCTGTTGAAGGCATTCGTAGCTTTTATTGGGCCTTTGAAATGGTCAGAGTGTCATCATGTGATCTGTTTGGCCAATGGCATGAGGATTTTTGAAAGCAGTGGGGGAAAAAACAGCTTAAACATGCTGAATTTCACTGGATGACCTAAACACGCAGCTCTAAAAATATTCCCCAAACTGGAGTCTGCAAAAATAACCCTCCTGGACTAAGCGAAATTTTAAAGATTTCTTTGGGTTTTATTGCATATTTTTTCAACCCCCTTGCCTGCTTTTTGGTGCGTTTGTCCAGGTTGTTAAACCTAATTTTATTCCTTATTTGCTTAGTAGGAGTTTATAGTCTGTTGTTTTTATGAAAATCATTTTTGAATTGCAAACACAGTTCCACCTGCCCTTTGGACTGCTCATTTACGTATCCAATTCTGATTTGGCTACAAGGCCTTTTTGTGTGGCTTTATGAACACACACAATCTCATTATTCAGCTAAGCCTGCATGGCCTGGCACGGATCTTCACCAAAGCTAGATCTGGAGCCTCCGAAGTGGAACAGCTGGCAAAACATAGGAGGAAAATAAGTAGCTGTGTTCGAGGAAAACAAGGTGAAGCCCTCTATCAACAGGACAGAGAAGCTGTGACGACTAAATCCGACCCGCTCATCTGTAACACCTTTTAATGAAGCTGTTTGTATCTCCAGCTACAACACACTGCTCCTGTATTCTTTTATTGGGTTGCAATGCTGTCAACCAGGATGTGTTTTTCAGGTCACATTTTAAGACTAGAAAAATGCACACAAAGTTGGACTAATTTACCAAAAATATGCTATTAAACTTTCTCCAAATAAAAGGTGGTTGATTTAGGGCAATCTGCAACGTTGTCATTTCAATCCCTCAGCGTGGAACTGGAATCAGGAGAGAATATTTTTACTGTAAATTCTTTTATTTCTTGGTTTAGTTAAAATTTTAAAGCACTGATTGTCTATTTGTTGTTTATGATGAATTACTATCTTCAAAGTTTCATTCCTGCCATGCATTTATTTAATATTCAACCCTTTTCTGCAATATTGGGTGATGAGAATGAGAGGAAAATGTCTGCCTCTGTGAGTCAAAGAGGGAATCCTTGATAATGGGTAGCAGCAGGGTGGGGACTGGAGTGGGAGTGAGGCGGGTACATGCCTTTGGCATTTGCAGGAGTTGCTGTACGCGAATGATAGAGGCATGCCAGCCCCGCCCCGCCCCTCTCATATGAATGAATTATGACTCAAATCCCAGAGATGGCTCTTCTTTCTTTGCAGTCATCCTCTCACTCTCTACCACTCCCCCAACTCAGCAGTGGATATGCTCACCATTACTTCTGAGAAAGAAGTAGCTACTTGTGAGTTTGTCGTAAAGGTGTGAATGAAAAACATCTGCTCCTCCCTCATGTGGACCTCCATTTGTTTCAGCATGCTGCCAGAGATCCGTTATGCATTTAAGGAATATGTGCCTCCAGTGAGGGTTGAATAGTCATAGATTTAGATTAGAACAGTGGATGTCCTTCAAACAGATTCATTTGGCTGCACAATGCAGATTGAACTAGAGGTGGAAAGGTTACAGTGGCTTTCTATAACTTTTTTTTATTTTATTTTATTTTTATACAGGCTGATAAATCGACAAAGGGGGTGCTGAGCTCTGCGAGGCGTGCTTCAGGATGCTGTCGGAGCTGAGCGAATGGTTCTGGCAGGAGCGGCTGTGGTTCCCCGAGGGTCTGGGCTGGGCTGACCTGGAGGATCGAGATGGACGAGTATACGCCAAGGGCCGTGATTTATGGGCGGCGCTTCCCATTGCGCTGGTATTCCTCATTATCCGGCAAATCTTTGAGAGGTCAGGACATTGTTCACTCTGTCCTGTGGCCTACCTGGGACCCTCTACTTTGTTCAATTTAAACATTTGCCTTCTTCGTGTCAACACATCTTTCTTCTTTTTTTGGTGGTTTTACCTTTGTCCTTCACCTGCTTTGTCCTTTACTTTCTTTGTCAACTATTTCCTCTTCTATCTACAGCCAAGGCTGCTACTAGTCTCCCCCTACTAGTCAACATTGCATATTATTGTCTTTATATTTAACATATTTTACCCTCCTCTTCACCTTCTGTAACAGATATTGTTAGAAAATGGTTGTAGGACACGTAGAGCAAACAAGACAGCCATAATATTTAGATACACCTACAAGGATGATTAAAACCACTGCCTATAGTTTTCATGATATAAAATATGGACATTTTCGTTCCCAAACATAACCTGTTTTGTATTGAGTTTATAATGATTTTAAGAAAGCGTCTCTTAGTTCTGCCTAGTTTGACTATTTTATTTACATATATCCCAAAGTTTAGGGAATATACGCTGATTTAAAACCTGGTCAGACAGGATGCACAAACAATTAAGAACAAAATATGTCGGCATTGTTGGAATTTTATTGCAAATCTGGATCAGAATGTAAAAGAATATAGATGAATATACTAGAAGAAGATACAAGATATTTACTTTTCATGAATCCATATAGTTCTTTCAGTTTTTTGTTTAAAACTTTCATCTAGATAATATTGAGAGCAAAAGAGGTTTAAGCATTAAAGTGTTATGATTTAACATAACATTGTGGTAGAGCCATTATTTATTAAGTCATAAAAGATGATGTTTTAGGAGGGACAACTAATTGACAGTGACCTCTGTTTGATGACTCGCCTAGCAGGTATTTCATTTATTTTTTCCATCCTGTTGCTTTAGGTTTTGGAAGATTTTACAGTGAAAAAGTCACAGATTTTCATAGAAAAGAAAACAAAACGTCATGGTTCTCTTTTCGTTAAGTCAAATAAGAAGGAAAATATTTTCGACTTCTTTCTTTTCTGCGATTACAAGATGTTTATGTAGACGTGAACAATGCCTTTATTTATCATCCAAGTGAGGGTCAAGATGCCGGATCATTTCCATTAGTTCCAATTCATTTCTTTTATTTTCTGAAAATCTTCCTAATGTTTAATCTCTTTTTAATTTAGAACGGTGGCCACACCTCTGGCTTCTCTACTCGGTGTGAAGGAGACGGTTCGACTCAAAGCCCCTCACAACCCCTTCCTGGAGTCTTACTACTGTAAAGTGACCAAAAACCCCACACAGGTAAATCTGAAGACTCTCAGCACTGTATGATCTGCAGTGCAGGACAGACTAATAATGGAACCGCTCTTTGTTGGTTCAGCCTTCAGTAGCGAGTCTTTGTAAGCAGACCGGCTACTCAGAAAGACAAGTGCAGCGCTGGTTCAGAAGGAGGAGGAACCAGGACCGACCAAGTTTGCTCAAAAAGTTTCGAGAGGCCAGGTGAATACATGAGCACACACTCTCTTTAAGATTCACACTTCCTATAAAAGATTTTCTTTACTTTTTTTATTTAAAATTTAACACATCTATAGAATGGGTGCATCGCTGCCTGTCAATCATTCTTAGACGCTCATTTGCAAATGAGCAGTCAGTGATCCCGACTTGTCTCTGTCAACTTTACCTGTATTTAGCATGAGGAAGGCATGGCACACAAAAAAAAATACATCTTGTAAAAAGGTAAAGGTTGTTATTGGGGACAAGCAATTCAGACAAAGTATTTAGACATTGGAACATAGTTAAATATATTCCCAAAATTAAAAAAAGGGAGTCTTAAAAAATATAGATGCACTGTAAGCAGCTGGATACGATAATCAACTGGAGCCACCGGTCATTCATTTTGATCAAGAATTCTTCTTCCCTTTTTTGGTATAATTACAGTGTTTGCCTATGGTTAGTCTTTAAAACAAAAAGCTTGTGTTGTTTAATTAACTACGAACATGTGGAAATAAACTGCATGGAAGGCAATAAACTAGCTGAATGTGTAACGCCACCAGCTGCTATCATTTAGCTTGTTGAAACCTTAGATACGTTTATACAGACACAAATAAATGGGTTGAAAGACTCATCAGATCAAAAATGTATCGTGTAAATATGTCAGGGTGAAGATTCTAGTCCGATTGGAAAGTAATTTAATTTCGATTGAAAGAGGTGGGAGTTTTTTTGTGCGAACATCATGCCGATTGGCATCCATAAACACAACTATTCAAATCTTTGGAGTAAAAACATTTCCTCTGTGCATGTGTGCAACATCAGCCTGAGGTTTTTATCTTCATCCACTGACTCCTGGTGAAGGAGGTGCCTCTAAATGTAATAATGAACATGCCGTCCCGCTCACCCATAGCTTTACTAAAATGACCCCCAAATACAAAAGTATAATACGATGAAAGTCCATAGTGGGAAAAAACTACATCAATAGACTCGACTGAGAAACGGAAGAAAAAGAACTGTGAGGTTCAGGCACATGGAGTAGCTAAAGTTGAGGATGATCAGACAAGTATGGGTTTGTCTACAAAACAGAGAGCTTCTTTTTCTACAACTAAAGCATTTCTGGAGAACTAGACAGTGCTGCGCATTCTCAAATGATTTTATCTGATCGAGCGCTTGCTACATGTACACGCACATTGTGATCAGATTGTTTTATTTAGTGTCCATGATTCTGAATTTCTGAGCAACCAAGGTTTAGATCGGATTGGAGAAATTATGCACATGTAAGTGTAGTTTTCGTTGCCCTTTAAATAAAAGGTCAAATCCCAAATGGATGTGTCATTTTTAATTATCAAACTTGAGAAGAAGAAAAAAATTTAGTCATTGGATTTGGTAAGAAAAAAATCAGATATTAGATTTAAAAGCCATATTGCCCATCCCTACCTCCAACACTTTTACTAAAGCAGCTTTCAGTCTCAAGTTCACTCTTGCTGATTGATTTTTACAATGAACAAATGCATTGTAAAAATTGTTTATGTCAGGGTAAGAGTACAAAATAAATTCCACAGCATTGACAAAAAAAACAGATTTACCCAAACAGCTCTGTATTCTCCATATCTGGACTAAGAACTTAAGTGTGTAGTGTAATAAAAAAAAAAAAAAACATTTAAAGACAGTATATCCAAAGCTTCAATTCTTGAGAACACAGACTACATCTGATAAGAAAACATTTGGGGACAACAGAATAAGACTGTGGATAAACTGTTTTCTCACAAACACCCATTTTTTCCAAAGCAAAGTGGGCAGATGTGACCAAGTCATGATTTTACGTGTTGATAGACACCGGCCAAGTGAAAACTGAGTGCTCCTCTAAAACGATACAGTGTTTGTTTAAGGGTGTCCATTCTATTCAGCCAGGTTGTTACAACGTATCGTATTTAATGTGTTCTCATTATTTAAAATGTATCCATCATTAATGGTGGAAAAAGTGAGGAAGCAATTATTCATTCAGTCAACCGCTGACCCTCAGCTGACTGGCAAATATGAACACGTTTTATGGGTGCCAGAGCAGCCCTCTATTTTTAACATTCACCCATAAGGCCCTGTTCTCCACAAGCACAGAATCTCCAGTTATGAGCATGGCTCCCACTCTGCCTCAGCTGTGCCAGGGACTCTGTCGTCACTTTAGCTGTATTTGTGTTTGCATGTGTAGTTGTATTCAGGCTGGGTATGATGTGTGTGTGGTGCTGTGTAGGCGTGCACGAGACTGGATGTTTGTCCCTGCCTGTTTATGGTATGCGTTTCACTGCGTTGGCTGTGGCATAAGGACATTAATTTCTCTCAATCAACCTATTGTCTGCGTGCACACAAAAGGATTTCTGTCTCTCTTCCTTCCCTCAGCATTACTCTCTCACTGTCTTTTTCTCGCTGGGTTTTAGCGGCTCTGCAGTGTTCAGTCAGAAACGTTCTCCTCACACCTGTGTGAGGGAGAAAAGAGCAGTGACCTTTTCCCTTTTCTGAAACCGGATATTAGCCTTCTCTCTAATTATTTTTTCCCTATCCATCAGCTTTTTTCCAACCTTGTTTGCTCACATGTGATGGTTCAACATTAGTGATGTCCTGTATTTCATCACATTTTTCCATGTGTGGAAACTATTTATGCATCCCCTGGTAGATGATTTGTCAAACATCTTTTTCTAATTGACTAAAAAGAAAGTTTGTGTGTATCTTTGTGTGTTTTTGTTTGTTCTCTTGCAGTTGGAGATTTACCTTTTACCTTCTTGCTTTCATTGCTGGCCTGGCCTCCCTTATTGATGTGAGTACCACCATATTAGCCCCACCCTCTCCTCCTCTCCTCTTCTTATAAACTCGGACACAGTCATCTGTCATCTGCCCCTTTGCTGTAAACTTGGGCATTTCTGTATCTGTCTGCTGTTTTTGCTCTGATAACCTCACCTCTCTCTGCAGTGATGAAGCACTGACTCTTTGCTGAGTCAGTGGATATAAATAAACCTGCCGATTTCTGCTGTCTCATTATCCTGACCCGTTTCTCCTTCCAGAAACCTTGGCTGTATGACACGAAGGAAATGTGGCAAGGCTTTCCTGTGCTGGTACGTCTCCAGGAGGATGAGTGCTAGAAATACATGAGTTTATTACCAGTACAGGATTTTTAAAGACAATGCTGATTCCAATTAATTCGACTTTGCTCTAGCCAATCCCTGATATGTTAGATTAGATTAGATTAGATGAGCTTTATTGATCTCACAGCGGAGAAATTCACTCGTCACATATTGGCATGGTAATAAAAGAAGGTGCAAACAAGGAGGAAAAAGGTGCATTAAGAAGAATAAACAATATATATATATATATATATATATATACAGTATATCCAGGTATATACAGTATATCAATGTGTGTCTATATCTGTTTTTGATATTTAAGTTAAACGGTTAAAAGGCTTTCTTTTCTGACTTAAAATTATTAAACAGAAATGCAAAATTAGTGTAAAATAGTTATAAAACTATAAATTATTTTATAAACGGTGAAATAAAGTCATAATAATAATAATACATCTCTGTAAGGTTTCTGCTGTAGTTAACATTTCCGTTCTGCAAAAAAAGTCTCAGATCAATAAACAAGTTTCTATTTCACACAAAAATTATCTGTATTAAGACAGAAGCTTTTGAAATTGAAGATGTAATTTATTTAAGCAATAAATTATCCAAACTAATCTGTGATTGTATAAAACAGTAATTGTCCCTTTAACCTGACAACCTATCATCAGCATCTGCAATAATGAGAACAGTGTGTTAGATGGCTATGCAGTAATTTTGGCCTTTATCTCTTTGCGAGTAGCCTCATGCACAGGATCTCAAGCTTCACTGGCCGGCTTAAACTTTAAACTCAGGTGGCTTAAGGTTCGGACTTTAACTTGGTCACTCCAAAGCTCTCATTTATGTTCATTTTGCCCATTCAGTGCCGGACTTAGCATGCTGTTACGATCATTATCTTGTCTCAAAGCACAAGTTATTTAACTGAAGTATTTTTTTTTTCATACAATTTACAGTTATATCAATTATAGGAAGTTTTAAAAGAGCCCCAGACCATCTCACAGCCACCACCATGCTTTACCGTTGAAATGGTGCACTTTCTTTAACCAAATAGGTGTAATGTCAGCAAGTGAGTTCCAGATGGCCGTGTTGTTCTTCAATCAGCACTGATTTTTGTATTTATTTTTATTGTGTGATATAAAAATTCATTTACTGGTCTGAAACTTTTCATTGATACAAAAACAAAAGAAATATGGAAAGGAAAAACACTTATTCATAGCACCCTGTCTGTAAACTTTTCTGTCTAGCGTTTTGTGTAAAATTCACCCTAGATCCCAGTTAATTAAAGCCATTTAAAGTGTTTAAATGCCTAACTTGTCTTCTGAATCTGGAAACCAGCTAATTTTGTTCTTTTAGTAATTGGATGTCAGTCCAACCTGAACAAACCATTCAATTTAAAATGTTAAATTTTAAAATTTTCTCACAATTAAAAACCAGTTTCTTGAAATACAATACAGATAATTGTAACTGACAATGTTAGAGATTTACTAATCAATCATATAATCAAGCTGATATTTTTTTCTTTGTCGGCCCTGATCTGGCCTATAAAAGGGCTCATTTGTTTTATTCCTATTCACTACATATTTTAACATGAAAAACACCTATCATTTTAATCAATAAATACAACAATATTTAGTTTCAATTAAGAGTGTAATGAAAATCATGCAAAAGTTGGATGCATATCCCTTCCTCAATTATAGTTATATTCCCACCTCAATCCAGAAACCTTTAGCACATATTTTTCTTAGTTTTTTTTTTTTTTTTTTTTTTGATATATGCATATGTGTTTATAATAGATGCTGAGAGTGTGGCTTAACCCCATCAGTCTGTCGATTTTGGTGATTAAAGAGATTTCTCTCCTTCAGACTCTGCTGCCATCTCAGTATTGGTACTACATGATCGAGCTGGGCTTTTATGGCTCCCTGCTTCTCAGCGTGGCTTCTGATGTCAAACGTAAAGTGAGTAAATTTATCTCTGGCTAATTTCTCTTCTTCAATGACAAACTTAGCAACAGACAGAAACGCTGTATTTCTGCAGAGTTTTAGCAAACATTTGAGCACTAATACCCCATTTAAACTACCCTTTTTAAACTGTGCCGAGGAAGCTCCGAGCATGGTAACAAAGATAACTGTTCAGTGTAAATGAAACACAACTGAACTGGACCGTGCCAGCCACAACTGAACCACGCTAAATCGGTTCTAGTTCAGTAGTGCTCGGCAAAGTTCAGTCATGGCTCGGTTCTCTGATTACAAAGAGCGCTTGAGCAAACCGTGTCATCTACCATTTACAGTCTGCTGACTCATTTTGCAGGTTTTTTGACGTGTCCTGCTTTGCAATTGACAGATCTCTTCACTTGTTCACAAAACAAACTTCTTCTCAGCCTATTAACAATAAATGGCATCAAAAGATTGTGGTGCGACCTGGGATGATGCTGAGACCCTTGCTCGCATTGAAATTTGGGTGGAGATCGCTATTCAGGCAATGTTAGAGGGTATATGGGCACCACCATTTTTGTTTGCGTAATTCCCAACTTTAGGGCTGCAGTATCGTGGACCACCTATAGGGGGCGAGAAACAGTTCTCCACCTGGATTCCCACACTTTTTCGCCCTTGTGTCCCTCCTATGTCGCACAAACTTGCCCCTTGCGTTTTTCCACTTCCTCACTGCCTTGACCGTATCTAGACCTTGCGTTGTAGCGTGGAATAACATAGGTCAGACCCCGCTTCAAAATTGGACATAAATCAAAAATACTTGCGTCATACCTGCGACAAGCTGACTGCGACACACTGCTGCGGGAGTCTAAGCAGCCCTTAAGAGTGACAGAAACGTGTGACCCCAGCTAACAATCGAGTGGACAGGCTTTGTTAATAAATAAACAAGAATAGTGTGGACACAAACTGCTTTACCAATAAATGGTTTTCATAGACTTAAAGGTGTTTTTTGCTTTTTTTCTTGTTTCGTGTGTTTGTTAAATTAGTGTGTACGATCTTTACGATTATTAATTTGATTTCTGTGGGATCCATAGCCGGATTTGTGGAAACATTGTCCTAAAATGTTTTAAGTCAGATCTGTATCATGTTTTAATTCATCGCAGCATATCATGTGATTTGTCTTCCTATGCTGCTATTACATTATGTCCAGACACATCTGTGGACGGTGGGTGGACATTAGACTGTTGTTACACGTGTGTTTCTCTGCGTGTGTTTTTGCTGGACTTTGGTCTGCCTGCTCAGCTGTGCATAGCAGAGAAACAAAAGTCTTGCAAAAGAAGACCAGCGTGTTTTCTCTTAACACAAACATATAACCTTAGATGCTCTTAAGCATTTAGCTCCAAACTTATGAACCTATGGCACCCGCAGAACATTTTTACATGCAACTCACATTTAAATGTTTTCCCCTTTCATAACTCATTCAAATTATTTCCCATCTTCTCTTTAGGACTTTAAGGAGCACATCATTCACCATGTTGCAACCATCCTTCTCATCAGTTTCTCCTGGTGTGTGAATTACATTCGTGCTGGAACTCTCATCATGCTGGTTCACGACTCCTCTGATTACTTTCTCGAGGTAAATGTGTAAACACATTTCTACCTTCATTTCATTAATTAAAAATTAAAATAAATTACCTACATTTCAAAAGTAAGTTTTTTTTTTTACAAGGATTATAAGAATCAAGAATAGGGAGAGAAGGCAACCCTGGAGGGGTGTTGCTGCTGATTGTTTTTGAGCAGATTATGCTCCCCAGCCTCACCTTTATCTTTAGATGATTAGATTAACCTATGAATTGTCAAATCACAGTCACATCTTTTCGTTCAGATTAACAAGTGTGTTGTTAATTGGAGAGGTCAGTGATAAATAACGCCTTTATTGATGTAGGTTCTCAGTCATCCAGGTCAAAGTCATTCCGTAAAAATTCAAAAAATATCCACTGGACTTGGTTTTCAAGATATTTTCCGTAAAAATTCAAAAAATATCCACTGGACTTGGTTTTCAAGATTTGAAACCTTCAAACCTTGAAAACCAAGTCCAGTGGATATTTTTTGAATTTTTACGGAACGCCTTTATTGAAAAATCAAATATGGACTCCAAAGTTTCTGGGGGGTTTATTTGCCTTTAGATTCTTTAAAACCAGGTTTTTAAGCCTAACATGTGATTATTAACTTTTTCAGTTTTCCATGTCAAAAGCATTAACACTCCTTTGTATTTTAACAGCATTCATAAACAAAAATAAGGTGAAAACCTAATACATACTGTTGCATGATTCAATCTGGTTTAAAACCTTTAGATGTTTATACCAGAGATGATCTAAGACAGTCTAGGAACAGCCCCTCCTTATAACCAGACTGAAAGTGAGTGTTTTGTGAACATGCGACTTGGATGTTTTTAATTTAATGCACAGAAACATTTAGAAATGTGTGTCTGGGAAAGAACCAGAGATAAAATTGAACAGATCTTGGAAGCCTGATAATAAACAGGAACTGTATTGATTTGTATATTCACACCGTTTGTGCTAATTTTATTTGCATCAACCACCTCAGGCTTTTTATGTGCCTCACAGGTTTGTCTGAGGGAAACATACCAAATATACACTGCCACCTTGTGGTAGAAATGTACATTTAAGCTAAGGCGAAGAGATGAGCAATATTCCTCTGTTTCACAGCACAGTACGCTGCACTATCAATTTGTTTGTAAATCATTTTGTTTTCCTTTAACAGTCTGCTAAGATGTTCAACTATGCTGGTTGGCGAAACGCCTGTAACTACATCTTCATCGTTTTTGCTGCTGTCTTCATCGTCACCCGCCTCATTATCTTCCCCTTCTGGTATACAAAAACACCTTTATTTCATCTTTTATTATTTGATTTTTGTGAAAACTTGTCCACAAATTAAATATCCTTCCTAGAGCACACCTCTTAATCGACTGTTAGACTTTAAAATGCTGCTCTTAAATGGGAAATATGGGTAAATGAAGGTATAAAATGAATAAAACTTCACTGTGTGTTTCAGGATAATTTACTGGACATGGGTTTACCCAGTGACCGTCTACCCGCCTTTCTTCGGCTACTACTTCTTCAATGGTCTGCTTATGATTCTGCAGTGTCTCCATATCTTCTGGGCAGTTCTTATCATCCGCATAGCCCTCCGCTTCCTCACCAACAACGTAAGCAAAAGAAAATTTAATTAATTTCACTGAATTTATATAGCGCCAATTCACAACACGTCATCTCAATGCTCTTTACAATTAAACCAGATCATACAGTCAAATTGATTCAAAGTTTTCTATATAAGGAAAAACAGCTGATCGCATCGACTCATTGACTCAAAGGCAATCACTCACCCCAAGCATGCTTTTAGCTATAGTGGAGAGGAAAAACTCCCTTTTAACAGGAAGAAACCTCCAGCAGAACCAGGCTCAGTGTGAGCGGCCATCTGCCGAGACCGACTGAGGTTCAAGGAGACAGAAGCAGAGATACAGAAAGAAGCAGAGATACAAAAGGCAACAGTAAACCAGCTCCACAGCGACCCTGTCCAGGAAACACACACCCAGGCAGACGAGCTCCGAGCCAGCTCCCATGTCAGAGGATGAAAGAATGCACACACAGTTAGTCTGAGTCAGAGAAACAGGACTACACTGAAAAACAAAGTCATTGATGGCAGCAGCACAGCTGATATTTCTCTCCAGGATGGTGTCACAGGCAAACAGGAGCAGAGCAGATGAAGCTACTATGAGAAAAAACTGAGAAAGCATAACATTAGAGATTGAACTAACAAATTCTGCAGAGTGGGAGAATAGAGATGGAATGAAGCAGAATGATTAAAAAGGGGTCCCTATGTCCTCCAGCAGTCTAAGCCTATAGCAGCATAACTATAGAGATAGCTCAGGATAACCTGAGCCACTCCAACTATAAGCTAAAAAGGAACGTTTTAAGCCTACCCTTAAAAGTAGACAGGGTGTCTGCCTCACGGACTAAAACTGGTAGTTGGTTCCACAGGAGAGGAGCCTGATAACTAAAAGATCTGCCTCCCATTCTACTACTGCTTTTATTTAGTTAAAGTGTTAGGATTCACCCAACTGGGAGAAAATGAAGGGTACATGTTGAGCAAGGATAAGGTTGATGAACAAAATGGTGGTTTAGTCTGTTTGTATTAATCCTCCCACTTCATCCTCCAATGCCAATGGCAGGAAAACTGAAGCTCAGTAAGATGCTACCGCAACCCTGCTTGGCAATTAGAGACCTTAGTGTGCTCTGAGGAGTGAGGCTTTTGAACCTATTTCTTGTGTGACCATGGCCTTCTTTCTATATATTTTCCTTTTCTGTCCATATTTATGTAAAAGTCACTTCACTAATTGATTACTTTGATGTTCATTCCTCTTCCAGTCCTCTTAAGACTTCCCTGAGCCTTATAACAAATCCCCTTTATCTGGGTTCAAACACTGGCTCCACCTGAAGGACAATCATCCAAAATATAGAGCCCTGAACTTAGGGTTTTTTAGGTCCTCGGTAATGCTGTGTCCACCACAGGAAATCAACTAACTGAAACTAGATCTACTATTTCTAATAAGGAGTGTTCCAAAATCCGTCCATTTTTTGTGTTTGCATAAATTGTATGTGAGTGTATTGGATAAAGTGTTACATTCAGCCTTGAGCTTCCATGGCTATGCGGTGAAGTGTTTATTATCATTACACTGTGAGACAATGAAAACTTCAAATGCATTAAAAGCAGAGCTAATGACTTTTAGTAAAGCGAGCACTATGTGGTGGATACCGCTGACGGCTTCCTGCTTTGTTGTGCTTTGTGAAGCTGTTGTGTAAATGGAATGTGCCAAGGGCTTCTACATGTCCATTCAAGATGGGATAGTAGCTTCTCTCTGCCTCCCAGCTCTGTTTGACTTTTTGCTGCCAAAAGGCTGTTTTTTAAAGCCAATTCACTTCTAAGGCAGAGGCAGTCAGATCATAATCACAAGATAGAGCCAGCATAGAGGAAGAAGCTGAGCACATAGTGCTGTCGTCACTTCTCTCTTATTGTTGCACAGCCTGGCTTAGGAAAAAGGCTCTGTTAGAGGTGCTTCCTTTTGCTTCTGGACACAAAAGAACAGGTCAGACAGATCATAGCATTAGGAGTATCAAATAAATTTCCCTGTACTGTAAAATTAGGATTGTTATGTTTTGGAATTTCTCATTATGTCATGATACATTGCTCTGTAAAAAAGTTGAATCCACCAATAACAATCCATAGTTCTTCTGGTGGTCTTTAGAAGTCTACTTTTGAGGGCTGGTTTTCTTCAGCTTTGTTTTCCACATCTTTTGGACACAGAGAACGGTGGAATTAGCATCTAATATATCGAGGAAAGAGGGCAGGTGAAGGGAAGTAAAGGGAATGTAGAGTCTAGACCAAATAATATAAAGCTAATGGATGGGATCTAGAGTCCAAAGAAGAAAATACATCATCGCTTAATTTATTACATGACATGTTTTGATTATTTGAAATGCTTTAAGAATCATCTCGATAATGCTAAAATACCTTAAAATGCTTACTGAATCTGTAATCATAAGTATTCGTCCAATTAAAGTTATAGAAATTTAAATGTTGCCTCGTGGACTTTAGTCTAACTCTTTTGATTTGAAGCCTTTTTATGCCTAACTGATTCAAATCGATAAGGACGTAAAATATTCTTGTGAAAATGTTTAGAAACAGAACAGAAAATACCAGTACCATAGCAGTGTTATGTATACATCACTTTAAAAATAACACAGCAAAGAAAAATATAGTACTGCTGCAAATAGCTGCTAAGTATAAACATACATTAATAGACCATAAATATACTATTAAAGGAATAGTACACCCAAAACATGATTAGCCTTCATTTTCTACTCACCCCCATGCTGAACAACACTCTGGAGTACTTTTTTG